CTATTACATACCAGTCAGCATGGGCATACGCTTGACATCCCTGCATTGGAGGTCAGCCAACATGTGACCTGCACTTACACTTTCGCCCACTGCACCACCTCAGGTTGGAGCTTTCACTTCCATGACTTAAGCACGGCACTTTACAGGCCAATGCTCTTAGGGAAGACCGAGGCCAAATGGCTTGCAGGTTCTACTAAGCTGAGATCATCTGGGAGATTTGCAATGCACATTTTAGATTTGAATGAAAAGCAAACTGGTCTAGCCCAGGTTGGCTAGGGTATAAGGTGACACTCAGTCACCTCTGCTGGCAATGTGAGAAAACCTGTTAGATATATATGCAAATGAAAACTGACTTTGGTTTGCTGATAAAAATCAGCACGCCTATAAAATGTACACATGAAAGATCATTCCTTTGAACTGTCTGAACTAGGGCTGAATGGTTTAGGGAGAAACAGTTGTTATTTTTCTGGCAGATACTGCAATTTGCATTATCATTTAAAGTAATGCTTTGTTTCAATAGTCACTGTGTAATAGATTTCATGAGATGCAGCATACCCACATGAGATACAATCAAAACTGTAAGATTAAAACGTAATGATTTGAACTGCTTACAGCATGTTGTGATTGAGCGGCATAGAAGATAGAACGATTATCCCAAAAGCTGCAACTGTGAGTTAAATAAATGAAATAAAAATAAATTAAATTATGCAAATTCATAGGACCTTTCTGTGAACAATGTCTTACACTGAAATATGTAGGTCATTCATGGCTCAGAGTACCAAAGTACTGCACATTCTGCGACCAATTTAAAAAAGTGATAATATAAAGTTAATAAACCCTGAGTTACATGCGCTGCAGAATGTATGTGCTAAATTGTAGCCTGTGCAACTTGCTGATTGCATCGTTTCAAACTGCAATTTTGATTTGAAATCGATTATTGCGTACTCCTTCTCCAGATGGTGTTGAAGCTTAAGTGGAAAGCAACTTTTAACCAATGTGTGAAAACTCCATCGTTGATTAAAATGCATAGTCTTGTTTGGTCTTTGTCTCTTCAACGCTACATTAGAACAGTCCCATTAACAATTGATGACTTTTCGAGAAGTCCCCATATGCTGGAGCTCCTCGGGCTATAAGGCTGGGACGCTCAGCCGTGTGAGAAACAGGCCGCGGAGGGTTCAACAGCGACGAAACCCCAGCAATGCCTTTCAGTAACCTCTCCCCAGGGGGAATCCTCTTACAGCACTTCCCCTAAACTCTAAAGGCAATTCTCTATGGAAAAGCAACACAGTTAGCTTCCCATCAATGGAACACAATAGGTCAATTTTAAAAGCCGCACGAATTCGTGACTGGAAACTCGTTATTGACAAAAGAAATGAGTTTAAACTTTGACGGAAGAAAGGCGTTCAGCTGGATAAATGGTTTCACCTCGTGACTTCCTGTTGTAAGTGAGGCTGCTCGAAGGGGCATACAGATTTCCGCTGTTCTTAGAGAACTTGTTTGGATTAATTTGACACCTGTTCTCCCTGATGCATAGACACACAGCCTCTGCAGCATAAGGGTTGCTAAAATGGATTAATGATGCCTGTGGTGGTTATCCAAACATAGAACTCCACTTGCCCGATAGAGCCAGCACTACAAGAGAGGAAGCGGATTCCTTAATAAGGGTGAGGTGTCTGCACAGCGTCTGCTCACATTGCTGTTTAGGAAGTCTGTGTTATAGCCAGATAAGGATCATTAGCCGTCATTGCCCACACCTTGCTATCATCTATACAGATAAGGCGACTAAATGCACCCATCAGTAGAGTCACTCAGCATATGTATTGACTCAAACACATTCCTGTTATTTTTCCAGGCACATACTTGGTCAAAGACAAAAGCACACTGAGCCCGTGTTTGTCGCCTCACTGACAAGCTAATTGCCTACTTGGCACCTTGGTGCTACTTGAGAGGCATGGTACAGGCTCACCCACACACCCTCGCTACTACTGTTTCCACCCACATGACATCAAACACCCTTGAACATGGGGTTCAATGTATTCAGTGTGCATCGAAGCGTTCGGGCCAGACTTGTAGCTGTGGGTGATGGTCACGCACAAGACACAAATGTGCAGCAAACAGGGTCTGAAAGGGTTAGCTGATAGATGGCCACTTTAATCATGACCTCTTGCTTAAAATAAACCCATCACTTAAATTCACATGCCTAAAACCTTTCCACATTCAGAACTTTGAAACTTGATTAGGCCGGTATATAAGTATAGAAAAGGCTGGCCGCCATCCAGTGTGTGCTGAACTGCAAAGCCTGGACCTGTTGAAGAATTGGACAAAAGCCATGCAGTCAGACAGTAGTTGCACAGGTTTACATGTCTGGGATGCCTTGTTAAAAGCTGGAAGTCACAGCCCCAGTAACTACAAAGTGGACAAGTGGGGAGTTAAAAAAAAAAAAAGTGCATTTGGTGAATGAGAAACTATTCAGCTGAGTCGGAGCTAAACATTCCCTGAATGTTGCCAACCCTTCTCAACTCAAGCATGTGGATTCAGGACTATATTTGGAAAATGACTTGCAGCATCTGATTTAAACTTTTGACTTTGCGAACATGGGTATGTGGGTCACTGTATTAATGTCACTGGACGCAGTCACTCAAGTCTAACCCTAATTTAATTTGTAAAGCGTCACAAAATGCTAAAAAAAAAAAAAAGTGTTGCCTGAAAATACATTGTGTCCTACCCTCTGTCCTCTCATTACCAAAGTGCATATTTCCCCCAGGGTGAGCAGTCCCACACATGACATATGGCATACCAATCACACGACACCACAGGTCCAGCTGGAAGATCAGAGCTTATGCTGAAGGAAATGTGCTTCAGGGCATCTTCAGTCCCCAAACAAAAACACGACAGTGTTTAAATGGCAAGAATCAAACGCCCTTTCACTGGCAATAAACATCCACCAACCGCCACTTGATCTCCTGTAACAATGCAAGTGATTAAGAACAGTCAATACACAAGAGCCAGTCCTTGTCCTACTGAGGAAAACAACCCGGGGCAAACAAGAGCAAAGGCCTACATGCATTGCTTCCAGGTACTGTAATACGACTTCTGTCTCACACGCACAACAACTCTACAAACGCTCGTGTTTGCCGTTGGTGTGATCAGGTCAACATGAGGCCACGACCCAGCTCTTGACACAGGTTTTTATTTCAGTTTAATGCTGCTTGGCTTAGGTATGAAAGGATTACAAGATGTTATTCTTTAGTCAAACAGCATCAGTGGTTACATGCTATGATGTGGCTGTGGACTGTGCAGCGGTCAGCGAGGACAACACCAAGTCTTTTCTTGACAACATCCGCTGAGACTTGCGTTGCGCAGCTGGAAGCAGGACCAATCCATTGAAATGGTTTAAATGACATCAAAAAGCAAGCGCTGCATTTTGAAATTTACTTCATTTGTTTAGTGGCTCTGGCTGCTTAAAGGCAGATCCACTCGCTTGCAAAGTAATTGTAGTGTACACTCACTGACAACACCTCTAACTAAAGCAAATGGTTATTTAGCCAAGCCAGACCACAATGAGGGAAGCAAGATTTCGGGGCTGGACTCAAAAGCCTGCATCATCCACTTTTGCTAAATCTCAAGTGTAAAGACGAAACTTCAATAACCGCTTCTAAATAAGTCTAAACATGTCAACAATGACAGGACAACCTAGCATTTACCCACGACCTATAATTTGGTTTGAATTGTCTCGAGCCAGTCGACCCCTTCTTCAGCATCCAGTGTTTTTATGTGAAATGTGTGGATGGAACGTTCCCATGAGTTCTTCACTTTCACTGTGTTTGCAGGAGTCTGCAAATCCAATGGTTAGGACCTACAGAGACAACTGCTGAGTCAGGTTTTCAGGAGATTGACAGCCATGGGGCCTGTATAGACAACTAATCCTCCATCCATGTTTGCCCTGGCTGGGCTCTTTTCACAGGACACGAGGAAACTAACCCCTCCGCAATCCCCTTTAACTCCCAGCTATAGACGCGCACCGGCAGGCGCCTTAATCAGCAGTTAATGTGCCACTTCACTTGTAATAGTTATTTTAAAAAATAGAGCTTGGGATGAGTTACACATTAGGAGTCTATCATGGAAATCACCTTAGTTTTGCTTTGGGAAAGTTTCCAAAAGTCCTTCAGAGAGAGTTCCGTCCCACCACTGGTCACATAAACAAGGCATGACTCACTTTGCTGTATGATGTACACACAAACTTCACTTGCCTCCGTGTTTGGAATAATATCACTGCAACTATTTCAAACAATGCTCCACATACCACATCCCTCGCCTGGCATACCTACGCTGTGACTGAGGAGAGCTTCAAAGTGAAGTGATGTCACGATCATAGCTAACATTCCTCTGAGAGAGCACGAAAAAAGGAGGATATTAATAGGGACACATCCTAAGAAGCAGAAAGTGACTGAAACCACTCGAATCAATAAAAGTTTGGCACAGTGATTTTAAAACTGGGGTCCACAGAACAATAAGTATACATCAGTAATAGATAATGAAGTACAGGCTGTGACTCATTCACAGCGAAACTGGTTTTAGATTGGAGACCCTTGGGCTAACCTCCAAGTCTGTATTACTGACTTGGAGATTTATGACTTAAAAACTTTAGAAAACTAACATATTTGGGACTGAATTAAACAAGTATTTAAATATAGTGTGGTGTTTAATAAAACTAATAAATATAACTGTGTGTAAATCCCATTAAAAAATGTAGTTTAAAGCATTATCTTAAGCAGGCAGGTTCACCCAGCTAGCTAAGTGACACTTTGCTAACATCTGTAAGTGAAAACGCAGAGCCATTGTTAAACGGCTCGGTGGAGGTATGTTGTCACACAGGAGCAGTTTCAACGAAACCGGCTGGAAAATACCGACGAGAGCAAAAAACCAGAGGAGCGTTTGGAGTCGCTAATATTTGAAAAATAAAAATGTAAATAACACACAAAGTGCTTCTTCGGACTCACCTTTCATCCAGTCGACAACTTGCTTCGGCGTCCACTTGGTTATCGGCTCCATGTCTTCCCGCAGGACAAATATCAGAGACAACAACAAAAAATAATAAACCAAAATGAAGCGACGTTGATGTGGAAATTAAAAAAAAATGTTTTCTGTCACATTCTTCGCAGCAGCTCGGCGCTGTCCGTGTGTGTTGAAGTTCACTCTCTAAACTCCTGTGGACACCCGCATGATGACTGAGTGACTGGAGGCTGGACTGAAATCCCCCACAGCTCCTCACCGCCCGGCCTGGGATTTATGATGCGTTCAGGGGCGACCGGAAATACTGGGAGAAATCACAACCTGCGCACTAAATCACGAACCAGCAATCGTTGAGATGACGTGCCTCACTCAGATATCCATGATTTCATAGAATGCCATAGCTTATGATATATTTATTTTAGCAATATTTTATTTTAAATGATTTCACGTAGATACCTTCAAAATAGTATATGTTTATCAAAACTAATTAATCCAGTGTTGACTTCCCCCTCCTTTGTCATAATAAATCCTTTTCGATTGATTTTCTAACAGCTAATTTGAAAACTCTTTCTATCCAAAACCATCTAAACGTTTATTAATCAGTAATATTTACCGCCTTTGGGACGCCGAAACTGGAGTTTACAGAGAGCCATGGAACGCAGCGTGTATTGTAGGTAGTTTCAGTGTGTTCGCCGCCCTCATTTGAAAGTGGAGGCGTGGATATGACAAACAGTGTGTTGCCCAGTTTACATTATGTTGCTCCTGCAAAATGAGTTGTGCAAGAACACACAGAGATTACTCTACTGTAAATCTGTCAGCTGAGTTTAAATGGTTGAATATCTGTGCATAAAACTGGTTTCATCTGTCTGCATTCATGAATGTAATAACACAATGCTGATGCCTTACTTACTAGGCATGAGTGTGACATTAGCTAAATTTGTTCAATCATATTTGCAGTCAACAAGATACAATGTGAATATCATGTGAGAAAAACAACAGAAGCAGTAAACACTTGTTCCTTCCACTGAGCTGAACATGACTCACCACTGCTCTCTATTGGTAACTTGCTCTTTTGCACTTCATGTAGTTGTAATCTGCTTTACAGTAGACCCCACACACAAGTTCTTACAATAACCCTTCAGATGAACTCACCTAGAAAGCATAATCTATCCAATAAAACTGGTTCACAGGTTCCAATCACAGTGGAGAATCAATTCACAATTAAGAAAGCAATTTAAAATGTACTATTGTCTTAATTGTTTGCCTAAAATCAGTCCAAAAAGGTGTGAGACAGTTAGAATGCAGAAAAAAATATGTTTTAGGGTGTGTTGAAGGAACTCCTTTAAATCCTTTTGTTTGGTGTTTTTTCCCCCTAGTGACAGTGACAATAAGCGGTGTATTATCAATGCATTCATCATCGTGTATCATCAGTTCATGCATGCCCAAACAAAGCTTTACTTCCGTGGTCATGACTAATACAGAGATCCATACTATGTAACTTGAATCAGACTTGCATCGCTGAGAGCAGCTGGTACTGTGGGTTTACGGCGCTGCAACAGGTGGCTGCTACGCAAATGAATAGAAAACATAAAGGTCACATTACGCAGAATCTGTGCTTAAAAAATAGCGGTCAGGGAGAATATACATTAAAAAAAAGGACCTCTTAGGTTGACAAAGTTTTGGTGCCGCTACTATATGCCTGTGTGGTGCTGGAACTGTTTCAAGTTTTACTTATATGCCTTTGTCATGAGGCTTTGTAAAGTTTTGCAGTTTATAAAGTCTGCTTTCAAAGTCAAGCAACCCTACAGAGAAAGTAACCTTGCTCGCTCATTGTTTTGTCTGAAACACACCTTGCATGTGAGAGCGTCCCGGCCCTACCCATCACTCCCCTATTGTGCAGCTGGAAGCTGTTGTGTGCTCTGCACTGTAATCAGCTGCAGATTAAAGCTCTGCTGTTATTAAACTTCGGCATGCATCAATTTGCTGTCACAGACATGCTGGAAGCCACAACACAGCATTATACAACTTTAGTTTTGGCTCTCCTTCTCTTCCTTGCTTGAACTTGCCGGCTTCCTTGTTGTTGAACTGAATTAAGATATTGTGTGAAGAAGTAAAAGTCCTTTCTTTGGGTTGAAGTAAAAGAAGGATATTTTCTTTACGATTTTTGAGGAATTTTGTTGTTGACTGACAGGTAAAACGCCTGAAGTAAGATTTTATAGAAAATCTGTGCAAAATAACACATAATGCAAAAAAAAAGAAAAGAAAAATTGCTTGAAGAAGAGTGTAATCAGCAAAGTATAAAATCAAGATCAAAGTAATGGGGTTTCTATAAAGCCAGTCACTGAAGGCTTTTTTGGTGGAAACTACACATCACACACATGCAACATGTTGTAATCTGCGTAACTAATGGCCCTCATGTAGTCACAATTTTAATCTCTTTTAAGACAACATGGACAGCATCTTGGTATAAATTGTTACCAGGCATCACAAACATTTCTCCCAGCAACAAATGGGCTCAACACTATGTACGCTTTTCATGGGAGTGGTCTGGACTAAAGGGGATTTAGGTGGTGTGGAATTCAGGGGAGGGCCTCCTGATAGGATTAAGGGAGTCATGGGATTGTTGTCGGGGTGAGATGGATGGATGGAAAGCGTGTTTGGTCTCAGAGAGGAGGGAGCGCATGAGGCAAAACTAGGAGAACATAATTGGTTATTCAGGCAAAAATTACAGAAAAGTATCACGCTTCCTCATGCTTTAGATCATCACAAGAACCAGGCTTCAGAGGAGAACCTCCGCCTTTACCCCCAGCTCTCAGCGCTAAAACAAAGATGTGTAAAGAAAAGCAAACTCAGCATGATCTCCTTTTGTTTTCTGAATCAACATTTATTTCGGTCTCAGGATACAGGACGTCCAGTTTTGGCAGTGTATATTATTCCAGCATCTACATTAAATTCAGGCTAATAATGTCATATAAACAAAGGCAGGCACATGAAACATCAGCACAGGAAGTCATCCACTTCACCACGTAAGATGACAGGATATAAAGAGCTGAAGATGTTGCTTTAGTACAAATGAACCCCCCTCTTCCTGCCACTGACGCGTTTGTTCTCTAAACACTGAACAGATTTACTGGAGGAGAGGAAATGCTCTGCAGCTCAAACACACAGTGTGGCACCATCTCATGTGCGTCGCCAATATGTTTGGGAGCATCTGTGTGGGTGGCCATATTATATTTTTCACACAACATAACAGATCAGGGATTCCTAGACGTCATTATATGACTACAAGCAAGTGCTTTCAGGCTTAAACTGTTCCCAAAGCAATTTATAACAAAATTATCACCATGTTTGGACTTGCAATGCCTTCATATGTTACACTCTTGCTCAGAAAACTTTTCAAGTAAAGAGTGTCATCACATTCTAACTTCTTTATTTCACTCTGCACTGCTCTTTTTCGCCCTCTTTGAGGCAGAAAAAGACTCAGATGCCTCCTCACAGTGTAAATGAGGGCCTCCGGCTGATATAAAGAGAGCAGTGTAGTGAAAAATACACTGAAGATCCTGTGTGCTGATGTTGTTGCTGGGGAGAAAGCTTAAGTTGGGAGTCTTAGCCTCTCTCCTGAAGCCATTAAAGAAGAAAATCCATGTCATGTTGGTCACATAAGACAAAATATAAACCTTTACTCAGATGTAAACATGAAAATAAAAGTGCATTTGCCCATGTAGACGACAACAAGCACGTCTAAATAAATGTTCTCCGGAGTAGGCACTCTGAGTTTTAATCTCATCTTAATCATTAAACCAAGGAGCATTTAGGATGTATAGAAGTCAGTAAGGTGTGTTCACTCAGTCCAAAAAGTAGTACCTGAAGATTTTTACTACAATGAAGTGAGAAAAGATGAAGAGCAGAGGTTTATGGGGCATTTTGCGGGTTTGAAGGGACGGTGGGTCTGGCGTTGAGGTACTCCAGAACAAAAACCTGCAGGATCTTGTTGAGGTTCCCGATGGTGTCGCGATCCAGGTTCTGCTCGTTGTCGTCGAACGTGTGCCACACGGGTGGGAACGGGGAGGGGATGAGGTGGAGGATCCGAACGCCTGACAGAGAAGCACAGGATGAGGATCAGCCAACGCAACAAGTGTAATTAAAGCTGTTGTGTTGCTCGGTGTGTTATACCTCTGTTCAGGAACGGTACGTGATCGTCTAGTACGCTGCCCACAGGCTGACTGGGCCAGAAATACTCGACACTGTCAGGATGATCCGCAAGCAGGTTCATCGAGTGTAGACGTTTTTCTGAGCGTAAAGAGTGAAAAGGTGCATTTGTTAGTTTAGTTTAAAGGGAAAGAAGGGATAAAAGTGTGGCAAAAATGCACTGTAAAGCATTGAACAGGATTTTAGTACAATTAACTGATAGTTTCTTGTTAATGTAAATACACACGTTTGTCAAATTCTAAGTTAGTTCAACCTAAAATGTCTCATTGTTTTTTTCATAGAACTTTTAAACACTAGTTGTCTGATTTGAGGTCTCTTGACTTCAAATGATGAGTTGAATAAATCCAACCTAGAATCCTCGCAGACTTCCCACAATGCATTGTCTGAGGGCTTAAACTCTCCTGAGACTCTTCTTTTGTCGAAGCCATTCACAATGAAAACTTGTTCTGGGTCATTTAATGTGTGTTCAATCCTTTATAAAATAATGAAAACAATGCTAACCACGAGGAAGTGTTGAATTTACTGCCAACCCATGAACATGTATTATATAACAAAGTAACCGGAAGCAGCTTCAGAAGCTGTTAAAGTATGAAATGAATTCAGCATTTGGCGGTTAATGTCAAATAAAAAAACAACTTGTCAAAGTGAGAATATAATAGATATATAATATATTATAATATAAAAAAAGGAAAGCAAGTTGTAATGATTGCAATAATTGAGAGAGTGCACAGTTGACTGAACTTAAGATATGAAGTTTTACATTTCAAAACTTCAAAGTTCAGTCAAGTCAGCATCGTTGCCACACTGGCCACTATATGATGATGACTAATGTATTAATGACTAATGATGAACATGACTCAAGTTTGTGACACGCCTTCAATAATATAGGTGTGTCACAAACTCGTGTTTGTGACACACCTATATTGCATCAAAATAGTAGTAAATCCTTGTGATTATTCACCAATGCCCTGCAGTCTGGAGAGCCAGGGCGCCGTGCTGGGGAACTGGTTGCCGAAGCGAGGGCTCGGAGCACCGATCAGGTCCAGCAACACGAACAGATCCTGGAGGAGGAGAGGCAGGGAGGGGCGAACAGTGTCGGTGAGCTCTCGTGAGAAAGTTTGTCTACGCAGCCTGAGGATAAAAAAGCCTGTTCCCATAGGAATCACTCTGTTTTGAGGTGTGAAGATGACGTCATGTAATCTGCTGTGTGGCCTTCTGACATCACACTATCTACACAACACACAAGCTGCCAGTCTACATGAGAACTTTAAGATAGCTTTTTAAAGATACTGTCTGCTTTATCTCTATCCGTGCACACAGGATGTCTCCATTTGTTAATAAACAGTTGCGTTATCTCACCATAGCTGGGATACAGAAACATAGGATAGCAGCTACCATGACATCATGTTATAATTAATGATATTCCATATAAAGCCTTCCAAGCCTCCAGGATAACAAAACAGGTGCTTTTGTGATTTGAGATTTCTTTGAAATACAAAACTATTTAAGAACTGCTCCTCCCTGTTCAAGGTGTCTGTGTGTGTAAAAGGAGCTCAGGGCTAAGCAGATTGGGCTGAAATTGAGGTGGGCTAACAAAAGGATGATCTCGAGTGTGATTAAGCGATTATGCTAATCCCGCGATAGTCCGGACAGGGAAGGATGAGTAGAGTCGATGCGTACTATGCCGTGCAGCTGGTTGGTGTCTGTGGCTCCGGCGGGATGGGGGGTGATCTCCATCTTCTGGGCCAGGTGTCGAGAGCCGTACAGGGAGTCTGTGGACGTCCACTGGAACAGAGCCTCCTCTCCGTCAAAGAAGAGCAACTGCAGGGTCAGGTCTGGACTGGAGATCTGCATGAGGGGTGACAAGAAACTTCAAGAGTTCTGCTGCCATCTAGTGGTTTAAAGACAACAATAAAGCAGCTTGAGATTTGCAATATTACTTTCACGTATTAGTTTTACGAATTAGTTTCATTTATTAAACTAAACTAACAATATCCGCCTCGTGGTTCATCAGCCGTGATCTGCGTCCTCCTCCGTGCCACCTATTGTATTTGTATTCACGGTGATTCCTATTCCCTCAGTGACCTTTGTGACAGACAGCTGAGTCTGATAAACATGTCCCTTGGCTGATCTCCCCGTCACAGACACTGTCACTGTCCGCCCAATAGAGAGGCGTCTGAGCTCAACTGTGAAGCAGAGAAAGGGCAGAGGAGCGAGCCGCATGAATGCTAATGTTTTGCTTGCGCATCAATAGTTTTGGGGGGAACAATTAAACATTGTTGGTGGGAGTTTTGCGGTAAATCCTCAACAACAACATTTGCAACATTTAAAACACGTTTACATGAAGTTTTATGTTGTTGCGTTCAAGAGTGGACAGTTGCAGGCTCATGGATGACTAATTAATTAGGGGATCTAATATAAAACATATATTTAGATTGAGAGAATGCCCTTAGGTCCCCACCTACCATTTTTTCCCTCTATTTAGCAAAACCAATGTACCTTTTTCACAGCAGATGTTTGACTTATCATTGCAACAACAACAAAAAAAGGCCAACCCCTTAAAATTAACAATGGATCTGCACCATTAAGTGTCACAGAAGGCCTGTCCAATAACTGAGCATATACAACACCAGGACCCTGCACTCGGTTCACCTAAATGGAATACAGCCTTCATTAATGACAAATAATTGAACCTGTACTTTTCCTGTTATTACATATCATATGTCTGCTCAAACAGCTAAAATTATATGTTTTTTCTTGCTGTAAACAATTCTCATAAACACACCAAAAATTAATTGATCTCAATAAATATAGTAATCATGTTCCCCCTATGCTTCCTCATGGTTTTCTCTGGGTGTTCCAGCTTCCTCCCACAGTCCAAAGACATGCATGTTAGGTTAATTGGTGATTCTAAACGGGCCGTAGGTATGGTGTGAGTGTACATGTCTGTCTCTTTGCGTTGGTCCCGTGATGGATTGGAGACCTTCCCAGATATCCACCTCTGACCCGGTGTCAGCTGTGACAGAGCTGACCTACCTGCAACCCTCCACAGGATAAGGCAGGTACAGCTTCTGGACGGATGGATGGAGGCATAGTGGGTGTAACCAAAGCTTGGTATGTTTTATAGAGTGCCATAGAGCTTCATTGGTGTCCTTCACTATTAAAAATGCATTGATGAGCCATGCTGGTGTCCTGCGTGTTGTGTTTCTTCATTAAACTAAACATGGGACCAGTAATTTCTGTGAATTGGAACTGGAATCTGTATCGAAGTAACCCATTACAAATGATCTGGTATTGTTTGTTAAAAGCAGCACCGAGATGTTTTGATGGAAATAACTTTGTCGTTTTGAAAATGAAACCGTACATTTGTGACCTCATCATCAAAGTGCTGCAGGCAGGAAGTGGAACATGCAAATACTGAGAAACACACTAACGCAGTTTCTTTTTCTTTTTTTACGTTATTTGATGGAACTTTGTGGGAAAACCATAGAACAGCGCTTATTATTTAAGTCAGAATTAGAATTTTAAACCTTGCGAGACTGATTCGCAGGTCATCTTGAAACTATAGTGCTTGAGAGATGCTAAAAAAACCTTCTGATATTCGCTGAGTCTAAGTTTAGACACGTTTTTTCCCAGACCTTTCAGGTGTTGTTGTTGTATGACCTCCCTGTGATTCATAGCCACACTCAAGTCTGATCTGACCACAACCACAAAAACACACATTTCACCCTCCCAAATGACTAAAGTATCACCTAAACGCCTATCACTAACACTGCATAATTTACCGTTTTACCCTATTCCTGTGCTGTACCTTTAAGTTACATGTGTACCTTCTGAGCTTTCAGTTCTTCATCCAGGGCTCGTGCCAGCTCCAGCATCATGGCACAGGGAACAGCAGAATCAGTGGCGCCGTAGAACTCCCTACCGTGCCACTGCGGCGGGTAGTATTTGGAGTCGTAGTGACACGCGAGGACCAGGCGGCGCTTTGCTGATGGGTTGAGGGTGGCAATTAGGTTGGTGAAGGGCAGAGGGCCATAGGGTGTTCGTGACATAAACTTATCCTCCGTCACTTCCCAGCCTGCTCCCAGCGAACCGAGGGTCGTTTTGATGTGCTGTGGACACACAAACGAAAGTGACGTTTTCTTCAATTTATCGCCACCTTACCAAATAGCTGAAACAAGTCTGTGACAGTTAAACTTATGGAAAATAAACACTCCTGATTTTGAACTGTTCCATCTTATCAAGGATTAGACAGCAATTTGTGATTATTTTGAAATGTATGTACTGAGGCAAGAGATGAAACGTGGAAGACTCACAAGTTTGAAGCAGTGCAACTTAAGCTGAGTTATTAATGCTTTTAGGTCTTGTTATGTCACAAGGAACATTCTTTATTTTGTAAGAGGACATGGGTGTATCACGACGCAGAATATTTCACAAGTGGTGGTAAAAAAAGTTACTCGTTTTATGTACTCGCACACCCATCAGCCACAGTATTAAAACCATCTGCCGAATACTGCATAGGTCCCACTTGTGTCCATGCCCTGACCCATCTCTGGGTGTCCTCTGGTGTTGGTACCAGTATCTTTGGGTGCTGTGGGTTGTCGGGTGAGGTCTTGTTTTAGACAGACTTGTCTTAGTGCCTCCCACAGATGCTGGATCGGATTGACATCTGGGGAGTTTGGAAGCTAAGTAAATGTCTGGGGCTCTTGGTCGTGTTCCTCAAGCCGTTTTTGAGCAGTTCTATGTGGTGTGGCAGAGTGTGTTGTCCTGTAGAAAGAGGCTGCTGTTGCTGTGGGGAATCTGCTTGATCTGCAATAATGTTTAGGCGGATGGTACGTATCAAAGTAACATCCACTTGAATGAAGGTTGAATGACTGAATATTTCCCAGCAGCAGATTGCATTCCAATGAGATGATGAATGTTGTTCAACTCTCACTTAGTTTAAATGTTGCAGCTGATCGACGTACAAGTGTTTCTGTGTTTTAAAGTGGTCTGATAGCAAGTTGTAGGTATATCATTCGTGTTTTCAACTTTCATACAAATCTTGAGAGATCAGATCATACAGCAGAACAAACAGTTAAAAAAAAGAAGTTATATTTGATAGCGGTGTGCTTTGTACTCATGGGCTTTTATATAGGTACAAGTATGTTATGTTTTAATGTGTGTTTTAATTTAGTCCAAGTGTGTGCAGCACAAAAACTGCAGGAAAAGCAGCTTTCTCAAGCTTAATGTTTGCATACAAGCAATAGCAAGTCACTCGAATGAATGTAAAATAAAGTTGTTGGGCCAGTTTAATAAGGAAGTAGTAGATGACGCCATTTCGGGCTTGATGGAGAAATAGAAACCAGTGCCTGCCAAGTCTTACTGCAGGAGACACTCATCCAACCTTTTTATACAAACTACCGTGGTTAGTAAATAAATGTTGCCTGTAATAAATCCTAGGGTGGAGCGATAAACCGAATTAAATGGTTTAAGAGTGGAGGCAGATAATATACGTACTTCCTGCACGGCCCGGCTGCCGTTAGATCCTGGGTACCGGATAACCAGCAGCGGCCTCAGGTCCCTCTGCCACATCTGCTCCAGGTCTGTGTGAGACAAGGCGGTGCGGATCTCATCCTGTGTTAGTGTGACAGCTCTGTGATGGAGCTTGACAGCACCAGAGGGAACACACAAGATGATACAGAATCAGTTCAGTTAATAGAAACATCTGTACTATAATCAGATCACTGCAGTGTTAATTAAGCAACCTATAAATGCCTGTTTTCACTTTAGTGTTATGGCTCAGTTTCACAACAACAACTCCTCAATAAAAGCAGGGGGAAGAGTTGCTATGAACGATCAAGTTGAGCAACAATGTGAATGACACATTAGTGCATCCTCTCACCAGAAACAAGTCATTATGTTACCCAACAGGGGAATTTCAAATGTCAGTGTTTCAGTGGGACAAACTATTGCTACAGCAATATATCACATCAGAACCTCTTGAGACACAATAAAGATGTATAATAGCAGCACTCAGTTATCAGTGCTTTTATCAAGACATGCAGACACTCCAAACAGGTTCCCAGGACCAGTTCAGTAGAGTTTTGAATACTTGTGACGATGCCAAAGTGACCAAACTTAAAGCAACCTGCAGTCAAGAAGAAGAAACTCACTGGGTGAGAATGGCACAGAGTGCAGACAAGAGAAAGGGAAAGGCAAATCAGAGAGCTGATTATTAAAACGGAATAACAGTGACAAACACAGGCAGCACACTGCAGTGATTAGATACATAATTTAGCCTTTGTATGGGTGTTTTTCTTCTTCTTAACTCACACACATATTGTGATAAATTAGAAATAATTGTCCCATTACATATCGAGTGTTGCAGGATTGCTGCCTGAGGAGAAAATTAATCTTATTAGTCATCGTCACATATTGTAATGTGACTTACTCAGAAATTACACGAGTTGTCGTCTAACAAAGCCACCATCGATTTGATGTTGTGGTAGCACTGTAAAATGAAACACTGTGCTCTCCTGTATATGAGCTGTTAAAGGTGCCTCCAGGGACACAGGAGCCAATTAGAGCTGTGAGAAGACATTGATTGAATGGCTTCAAATACACACAAAGGCGACTTTAGTGAAGCATCGGTTGTAGCGAATACACAGGCAGGAACAAGGAGAACATTTGTTATCGCTCTCTTTTGCTAAACAAAATGCCTCCTGAGCATGACAGGAGCCAATAATCTGGTTCGTACAATTCAAAATCTAGTTTGGATTCTAATTTTAAGCTGCAAGCGTCACTTCAATGAAATCTAAATTACAGTCACGGGCTAAAAAAAACGTATTGATCCTCTGATCCCATGGCTCTTTTTCATTTGGTCTCAAAGTTCACCTGCTGAGAACCACGGTTGTCCTGGTAACAAACCGGGACAGTGAGCGGGAGAGAAAAAGCTGTCAGTAAATATCAGAGACCGGTCAAACCCCGAGTCTGTGTGCTCCACTGCTCCATCCTCTCCTGTAGCAGGCCTTCCAGAAGCATGTTGAGGTTATCAAATCAAGGATTAGGCCTAAAATTAACTTGATCATTGTTAGAACAATCATTTAATTGTCTACAAAATGTCCAGAACTGGTGAAAAACATGTCGCAAAGCACGCAGCGTTGTCTTCAAAGTGACATTCTTTTTTAGTTCAGATCCCAGTCCAGTGGATGCATCAGTCCTGTAATTGCAGTGCAGAGGCACCCGGCACAAAAGGTATAATTATGTGGTCACACAGACTGAATATAGGCTTCCAAAGAGCTGGGGCTCACCGAGCTCAGAGAGGGTTAAAAAAGGGGGTCCACTTAAGGTCTATAAATACCAAGACCCACAATTGGAGGATCAATGATGATGACTGTGCTGCCATAGCAACTAGGCAAAGAGGAGAGGAGAACATAAATGAGGAGCATGAATGGCCAGGCATACCCAGGTGCATCTCAGGAGAATTACACAACAGTGTGGAGGAGCAGCACTAAGGGCTAGTGGCAGACCAGGAAAAATGCTTCACATACATCGATATGTTTAACTGTAAAAAATGAAAACTTGTAGCTATGATGTTTTAGGAATAACAGCAGCCTGAGTGTAGGGAATGTCCATCTATAAAAGGGTTCACACACAAACACAGCATGAACACACTGACAATTATTTTAACTAAATTATTCAAAAACATTTGATGCTTTTAAATGACAACAACAAAATACTATGAATTCCTCATTAATTAATCAGTCTTTTCATACTAATCAGAGGCAAAGCACTGACACTGGAGGGGTAAGAACACTGCAAATGGCAAGTTTTATGAAATGCTTTCACTTCCAAACCCATGATCTAAACATACAGTTCTGACTGCCTGGCAATAACACAGTCTCCTCAGACAACAAAAATGTGAACAGATCCTATTTGTTTGTTTACCTTTTCTTCCGTCCAAGGGACTCCGTTGGTGTGGTGGATAAACGCCACCCAGACGGCCACAGCGTAAAACAAACGCATCGTGGAGGGAGTGCGGCCGCGCACAGCCATCGATGTTGTCGCTCCTTTCCACATTCCTGTCTCTCCTCTGTGTGAGAGCTTTCAGATCATGTGAAAAGCAGGAGGGAGGACCCGAGGCTGTCTGAGCCACAGCGCGTCACCGTGTGTGTGTGTGTGTGTGTGTGTGTTGCTTCATCCACTCCCACAGACCACATCGGTGTTTTTGAACAACACTGTCACAGTGACCCCACAGAGTCCGCTGATAGTCGTTCGTTTTCACTAACAAACCAACACATTTACAGGATGTCACACACACAGACTGACCATTATGTCTTCTAATTAGTGATTCTGGGTGTAATCAGAGCTTTACATTTGACTGACAAAAAAAAATTAAATACAACTAAAAATAAATACTACTACTACTAATATTAAATAATAATTTCCGTTAAGACCAATTAAATAATTAAGTAAGCATTTCTTTACAGAGGCATTTTTAGGTCTGGACGTTTTATTTGATACTTTGTGTGTGTGTTTGTGTCTATCTGTCACTTCATTCATGCGTCAAAGACCTTGAAAATACCATGATACAGTTTGATAAAGCTGATTTAAAGGATGTTATTGTACAGCTAGATTTTGCAGATCAGATCTGTTTACTGAAACCAAAATATTTTTCTTTCACTTGATTTTTTCAGTTTTTACAATTTCATAGCAGCATATCTACAGCAGTGGCATTATTGTGTGTGTGGATTCTTCCCCATAACTGCATTAATTATGATTAGTTTGTGGTATCTGATATTCCACATCATGGGTTTATGATTGGAGTCCCCAGGTCAAAGGCTGTATCTGGGTTTAGGAATTATGGACCTTATGATTGGAGTAATCAGGTTAAAGGTTGCATCTGGAGGGTCATCACATAATCTAGAGGATGTGACTCCCATTAGGACATGAACTATACGTCCATTGTTTTACATAAAGAACTCCCCTATATCAGCCAGTGGTTAAGATAGCAGAGTAGCAATGAAATAATACAGTGTTGTTTTAATGTAAGTTGCTGTGGTTAGATAAGCTATCATTATGGACAGATTTTTTTTATTTTTATTTTGGACAACAACACAGGCAGCTTTGATTATTACTTAAGCTGTGTTGTAAGACTTTTTAAAGTTTTTTTTTTTCTCCTCAAGAGTACCAGCATCTCTTCATCTGAACTATTTTAAGTTTCTGTCTCACAAATTACGATAAAATTAAATATGTCAAAGCAAGTATTTCCAAGGCACTTTTTTCCATTTGATTTCAGCAACATAAATCCTATAAATAAGATTAATTCCAAGACAAACATTTTGAGAACCACTGCTCAAACCAGCCTGCGCTCACTGTGATGTAAACATGGGTTAGGCACAGAAAGAAAGTGGTTAAACTTACTTAATCTGTCTAAAAAATTGTATAATAATTTTACGTAACTTTAAAAACGGTGCAATTCTCATGTTAAAATCTCGGCTTCCAGTGCGACCAACAGCGCCTCTCCGTCCGGCGTCTTTACGTCACCGATCACGTGGTGTCATTGTCACGTGGTCAACGCGGAAGTTTGAGCAGTGTGCTTCCTATGTCAACATGCTGCAGTTGCACAGTTGAAGCAAACTTTAAGTATTTTATATTTTTATAACTGCCGCTGTTTTGTTTGTGTCTGCGGGTAGTTATGGCTCAGGAAGTCTGCTGTTTGAAGGCTCAGCTCAAGGAGAAAGAAAAGGAGATTGCTGCACTGAAGAAGAAATTGGCACAATTGGAAAAGGTACAAAAGACTTGCAAGCGGTTGTTGTGTGTGTATGAATTATGTACTGCATTTTTTATCGGGCAGTTCAAAGGCGCAGCTACAACGTTAGCTTCTTTGTAGGGCGGTGCAGTCAACTAAGCGGCAGGAAACATTGCTGTCAGTCTGCCATAGAACATAACGGCACAGTCTGCGGCAGTAATGTTAAAGTAGTAGACAGTTTACTAGCTTTTGAGTGAACTGCCTAATAGTCATCTCCAAATAATGTATGACTTAGGGAAGGGTTTAAAGTAAATTGGCCATGTCAACAGTGGTGGAGGAAAAATACAAATAGAAGTACCAATACAACACATAGAGTAAAAGCCCTGCATGAAAAGTGTTACTTCAGGAAAAGTTCATGAATATGGAAATGGAGGTGTTATCCCTTTAATTTATATTTTATTTTATCTGAAATTATGGAATTATTCATACAAAATCAAAGATTCAGTTTTCAATTCAGTTGAAACCTGAGGCCTTAGATCAGAAACCTGTATCTCCGGAGCCAGAGATACTTGCAGAGAGGATAAAACACAACCTGTAGGAGAGAGGACATAAGGTTAGTGACATGCAATGGTAACTTAGAAATTTGTGGGGAGTGAAAACGAGAACACTAGTGGCGAGGTGTTCAGTGCATCATTGCATGTTTACCCACAGTCTGAGCCTGTAGCAGCATAACTAAGCAAGGGTTTATGGTCACCTGAGTCAGCCCAAACCATAGATTAGGGCCAGGAAAGACAAAAAAAAACTAGCACTGATACACAAATAGTTTTTCAGTTTTAGACTTTTTCTCTAATCACAGATATTCGGTGAGATGTTAGACCATTTGAGCATGGATCATTTATTTATTTAATGAGACCATGTGAGAAATTATATGAGAAAAATTATGGATATTTGATGGAATTGTTCAAAATTCATAGACATCTGAAGTATGACCCAGACTACACACTACTTTTTGTAAGACATCAGAAGCCACAAAGTTAGAAACCACAGGTTTAATCTTTCATAATGGGTTTAATTGAAAAGCTTGTATTGTCATTCACTGTGTAAACCTCCATCTTAAAAGCACACAAGGATATCAGATAACTGAAATGTTTTGGAGCGGAAATATAAAGTAGAATCTAATGGAGATAGTTAAGTATAGTGCAAGTGCCTCAAAGTTGTACTTAACTACAACACTTGAGCAAATGTGCTGGTTACAGTCCACCACAGCGTATAACACAGCTGAGACACATGACACCTAATAAATCACAGCGTAGACGTTTCACCTCTGTTTTCCCCGTCATCAGGAGACACACACATATCACATTTGGTCATGTTGGATAAATGATAAGCACTTAAAAAGGTAGTAAACATGTGAGAGCAATATTTCAAACTGTTAACTTCTTCAGAGTAAACACACTGTACCCATGAGAAAATCATTGCGTGTTAAAATTAGCGCATTAAATACATACATGCTTATAAGAAAAAATAAAATAAAATAAAAAATACGTGTAAATGCAGTGCTACATTCAAAGATTAATAATTTACTTTTTGTTGCTGCTTGATACAAAAAGAAAACTTGCACAATTCTCATCTTTACAATTTACAAGAAAAGCCTGTCTAATAGAACATCATTTACTCCCATTTAAAGGTTCTTTTAAAGTTTGTCTCTTATTCACAAAACACAGACTTTGTTGACACGCAGGCTCCACTTGTGCACAAAATGAGGGAGGAACTGGAGTGAAACACTGAAAAGGAAGATCTGGTTGCAAAAAGAAACAAACATCAGTTTTATGGAAATACTTTGGCTACTGAAAGGATGATGTTGACCAAAAACAGGCACTCTGTCAGCACAGTTTTGCAATTGTTGCCACTACACAAAGCAACTCGACTAATTTGTTTGCTCATTTAAATGAGCACTACAAAGCCACCACAAACAGTTACTCAAATCATCTGGTACAAATTCCTGTATTTTTTCATTTTGCCAAAAAACAAAATATTCATTTTTTTCCAGTATTGTGCAGCTCTATTTCTTACGAAATAAAAAACATTTAATTGATTAAATAAATCTCAAATGCAAAAGAAAATACGAATATACATCCTAGAAACGACTTTATTTCTTTCTTATTATAAATCTTTTACCAAGAGTGATACCTATTTAGTCAGTTGTATTATTTAGGTAGATTGTTAAAGACTGTGATCCCACACAGCTCAAAACTCCTCTACAAATATGTTTGATTTATTTTGTGTAATAATATCCCCTTGGTGTGATGGCAGAGCCATCCCACCGTCCTGGAGCTGCATGACAAAGTGACGCCTCTAACCCCGCTGACATCCAACCCAGCTCTCAGCAACGAGGACATCATGCGCTACAGCAGACAGCTCCTTCTGCCTGATCTGGGTGTGCGAGGTAGGAATAGCTAGACTGTGTTATTTTGATACGGAGCGCAATAAGCATCCTGTCGACTGAGATTTATGGCACGACTGACCACAACAGAGTGAATCTTGATTGTCCACAGGCCAGCTAAACTTATCCAAGACTTCAGTGCTGATTGTGGGCTGTGGTGGACTGGGCTGCCCCCTGGCACAGTATCTTGCAGCAGCAGGCATTGGTAAGTAATCTTGTTGATTCATGCACATCATGACATCGTGCCAAACTGTTTAAGTCATTAACCTTGTTTTTGTTGTCCATGGATATGTGGTTTGATAGTGATTGTAGAGTTGTGAGAAGTTTGTAGTTGGAGCCTACAGTTAGAAAAGATGACATTTAAACTTTACGAGGTGTGTCAGAAAAGTTCCAGGACTGATGTCACAAAAGATATATTTCAAACCAAACTACAAACTATGAGTTTTCCCCTTCAGACGATCAATCGGCACATCTACAAAGAGATCCTACAGTGTTTGCTTCGTTCAGCGCGCAAGAAGAGGTGAGAATTGTGGCAGGACAAGTCATGGCTGCTTCACCATGACAACGCGCCTGCTCACAACGCCCTGAGCATCCCACAGTTCCTGGCTGAGAAGAACATCACTGTGCTGGAGCAACCTCCCTACTCACCCCACCTGGCTCCATGGGATTTTTGTCCTCTTCCTCAAGCTCAAGGGGGTCATCAAGGGGAACCGTTTTGAAGACGTGGACAACATCAAGATGGACGTAGCTGTGGAGGATCCCGGAAGAATCCTTCCAGGAGTGCATGACGACGTGGCAGAGAAGGCTGGGAAAGAGTGTTAGACTCCAGGGGGATTACTTGGAAGGGGAAAACTTGTAGTTGGATTTGAAATCTATTTTTTGTGACACCAGTCCTGAAACTTTTCTGACACACCTTTTATAATTTAAAAACTGCCAGCAAATCCTGCAAAACGCTCCCTTTTTGCAATCTGTACCCCCTGCTAATGGAATGATCATCCTGTGCCATAGCTGTCAGAGTCAGACATTTACTTAAAAGTCTTTCTGGCTGACTCGCTCAATTTCGTGTCTCCCCAGGGCGCCTTGGCCTCTTAGACTATGATGAAGTGGAGCTCAGTAACCTGCACAGACAGGTGCTTCATGGGGAGGAGAACCAGGGCCAGGCCAAGGCTCTGTCTGCTGCCAATGCAGTTAAAAGGTATGCAGAATTACACATTGTGTGGGACTGTGTACAGTGCCAGTGTACAGTATGTGGCAATCACAAGTAGCTTGCAACAAGTTACCACTTGTAGAACAACGATTTGAAGTATTTAAGAAATGATCCCTTGTTCATCTGTGCCAAATCAGCCCCAAACAAATTGGAACAAAGTGGTTACTGTTTGATATTATTAGTACATTTTCAGCAACTATGATAATTGGTGTATTTATATGCTTTCTGTGACCAATTGGTTAGTTTGTAATTCATGCTGGCGCTCTCCAGTCTCACCACAAGTTATATTTGGTTGTGTATTTCTACCAAGTCTACAAATATTGTGTAAACATGTTATTTTAGAGACAGCTGTTTTTGGTGTCTTTCTACCTCACAGTGGGCCTACTGTGGTTAGCACACACATTGCACGGACGCGGCCACACGGGGGCGTCATTTCTCTGACCAGCAGATCGACTGTTTAGCTGCCGTGTCACACCACATCACCACGCTTCCTTGTTTTGTTGTTAAATGTTAATGAAATTTGGCTACATGCATGACACAAGCTACGACTTGGAAAATGTTAAGGGACAGTGGTTTGTTTTGGACTCTATTTTAATCGTTGAGACAGACAGCCATGCTTAGAAAGAAGAGAAGAGCCGGGGCAGACATGTGACTAAGGTCCCATGTCATACTCACAACTCACATGTTGCAGTTTTGTGGTTTGATAATGATTTAACCAAACCACCAGAATGACTGTTGACAGAAGTTCTTTGATTTAAATCTGCTAATTACGGAGGACAAAATCAGGACTTTTTAGGAAATAAATCGCTTTTTCTGAATTTATGTCTGCAGGCTAAATTCCACCGTAGAGTGCATCCCCTACCACCTGCAGCTCTCGTCGGACAACGCCGTGCAGCTCATTCAACAGTATCCTCAGCCCAACATCTGTTCCGCAGGCCTGCTACCGGCTAATTGTCTATCAGGAATACATCTTATAGCTGCCATCTGCTAATTCTTACTCGAGCCTGTGATTGCTCATGCTGCATGAAGAGCATTTAGGAATGCGGTAGGAAACTGTTAGTAAGCTGTAACACTGATAAACTCTGTGTATGAGGACACCTTGACTTTGCTGATCTCATGTATGACATCGTGGCTGATTGCTCAGACAATGTCCCCACTCGCTATCTGGTGAACGACGCCTGCGTGCTCAGCGGCAAGCCTCTCGTGTCAGCAAGCGCATTGCGAATGGAGGGGCAGGTAAGATGGAAAGCAGCCTTCTTTTTCCCTCATCAGTGCGGCAAGCCTCCTTGAGAGTTGCAATATCATTTATGTGTGTCTGCAGCTGACAGTATATAACTACCGTGGAGGCCCCTGCTACAGATGTCTGTACCCATTACCTCCACCCCCAGAGACAGTGACCAACTGCTCTGATGGAGGGGTGCTGGGAGTGGGTGAGTCTTGTCCCAGAACTTTCTTAGAAGTCCTTAGCACAGGAAACAGCAATACTTCTTTTTTGTAACTTGTTCCACTTTAAGTTCCAGGAATAATGGGCTGCTTTCAAGCTTTGGAGGTCCTCAAGATTGCCTCTGGACATGGCTGTATCCTTTTTATTTCATTCTTTGCTCCCCTGTTACACACAGCTCCTTCCTTGGTCATTGTGTTTCTTCACGTCATGAGTCATTTTTTTGCTTAGCCATTGGGATGAATCAACATTGAATGGGTGTTTTGTGTACGTCAGATAAAACAGAAATATTTTTATCTGTATTCTCTGGAACCCTGCTGACTATTCATTTGCTATTGTCCCCCCTTCCCCCCGGAAGCTGTTGTGGTTACTGTTCTCTAGTGCTGACACTGAGACTCACAACAGGGAATGGACTTACCATATCCCACCCTTTGTGTTGCATTGCCATACACATGCTACCACCTGGCCACGATGCGTCAGCCAAGGAAGTGTTGTAGTGTTTTTCCACCAAAAGTCCCGAACGTTGCCGTGGCGTTTCGTACTAGAGGGAGACGTGCCAGACGAATGCGGTGATAAAGTAGCCTTTCCCTTGACTGGGCGTGCCAGCTTCCTGCGGCCAGCAGCTGGTGATGTTCGACGCTCAAGATGCCAGATTCAGGTCGATCAAGCTGCGGCCGAAACAGCCCGGCTGTGCAGTTTGTGGAGAGAACCCCAGTGTGACCCAACTGGTGGACTATGAGGCCTTCTGTGGCTCTGCTGCCACTGATAAGGTTGGTTGTAAAAGAAACCAATGGGGGGGCGGGCCTCATATTGGCAGGTTGTGTCTATTTTCACTGGAATGCAGTGAAGCGTTTCTTATATCAACTGGATTTCATTAATATGACATTTACAAAGTACATGTAATTATCCCCTAATTACAGGAAAATTCTCTTTTCAGTGCCTCAAACTTAACCTCCTGTCCAAAGATCAGAGGATCACAGTACAGGTAAGGAATTCATGCTCCAGAACAGTTAGTTGTTGCGTGACTCCCTGCATTTAGCGCTGTTTATTGTATGATTACTCACAATTTTCTCAGTTTTCATGTGCATTCATAGACTGATTACATCTCAGTGCTGACCCAGCCCCAAATGGGAAATGACTTAAAATGCGCCTGTAGATTTTCTATGGGAAAGAATAACATGTTCTGTTTGGCACCGAGAGCGGTGGTCGTGGATTGCATCTGTTTATATTTCTGCAGAATTGGCGCTTTGAAAACCCGCTGAGTCATTAAGCGCAGAGATGGGGATCATGATTGATTGGGGTGCAGTCGAGATTGTGCAAGGGGCTCCAGTTAGAAACAGTTTTGTTTCCTGTGATTTAAGGAAAAGCAGTTAAAATGTTCATATGACTCCCCAATTACAAATCCAGGCAGCGTTTCAACATTTGCTGCGAGTAATTTTGGTTTCCCTGTTTAACTAAAGATATAAATCAATGTCGTTTTCCAAAAAACTGTAACCACACCTCACACTAATCATAGCGGCTCATAGTGTATGTGCATTAAAGGCTGTTTTAATGTGATTCTAGGATTATAAATCAATAATGGACGACGCGGGGCCCCATCTCTTGCTGGATGTGCGCCCTCTTGTGGAGGTGGACATATGCCATTTGCCCTCCTCTCTCAGTATCCTTTTAGCAATGGAGACACAAAATCACCTTGTCATAGGTTATCAACTTTCTTTTCCTATCCTCCTGGTTCCCATTTCTGTGTGATTATTCTGCTTATATTGCTGCCAGATATTCCACTCTCAAGTTTACAGGAGAGGAAGAGTGAACATCTCCAGTTACTTCAGGAAAGAATCAGCGAATTGAAACAGCAGATGGCAGGTGACTGCCGGCCTCCAGGTAACGCGGCAAAAACACCGTTCAGGCTCCGTACATGTTGTTTGAAATGAACAGGCACGTCGAGTCACTCGTGCATATTCACGGCCCACTGTGCCGTCTCATACTGCCGGGGCCGCAGGCTTATTTTGGACGGCTACTAACAGGTTGTAATGGGGTTGCTAGGTGACCCCTTTTCCAAAACAAGTACGGTCAAACCTGAGCAGCTGGCCTGCTGCGGAGAAATTAACATTCAAAACGTTATTTTGGTGGTATTCTTTAATCAGTCAGCTAAATTTAGCTTTGTGTAGTTTTAGCTCGACACTTTACACCGTCTTGATTTCAAACTTTGACCTGATTGTATTTAATGAACTAGTCAGACTCTTGTATGGAGGCTGTGGTCCTTCAGTAATGATGTTGTGATTAGGATTACAACTTCATGTGAATAGCACAGTCCACACAAAGCAAATGTGACTGAAAGTGCTTTATAACAACAACAAAAAAGGGAACAGACTTAAATGTAAACATTGTATTGAATATTTTAACCCTCCTATTACCTTTACATTTACTGACATCTTTTATCCTTGGGTTCAATTTGACCCCATCAATTTAAACCCCCAGAAAATGATCAGAATTAAAATTGTTGCCCAAGTTTATGTGTAAATAGCCCTTTAAATAGAACTGAAAAAATTATGTCAGCCACCTATTTAGAGATGTTAAACATTGAATGGGGTCAAATTGACTCCAAATATAATAGGAGGGTTAAATAAAAGTAATAAATAGATCTAATATCAGTAAAAGCTACAAAAAAAACTACATAAACAAGCCTAAAAAGACAAGTTCTGAGGTTTTGTGGTGTTTCTGAGTCTTCTAAATGTTACCTCTGATGCATATTAAATCTCCAGCGGTCTCATCGTGTCCTCTCTGTGGTTTCCTCCAGTTTATGTGATCTGCAAGCAGGGCAATGACTCACAGAAGGCCGTGCAGGTTCTGGACAAGATGAGCGGATCAGAAGTGGACAACATCGCAGTAAAAGACATCAGCGGAGGCCTCATGGCTTGGGCTAAGAGAATAGACCCCACATTTCCACAATATTAATGCATTTTTAAACCTCATTGTGTCAATAAACTCTGTATCCTGTCACCTTTTGTTGATTTTTTTTTATTGGTGTGTGTGCGGGGCATCTGGCTTCAGAGGTAAGTTGTCTTTAATGTCAGTGCTGAATTGCAGAATTGAACGGAGCAACAATGGACAAGTTCCTAAAATCTCTTGTGTAATCTACTGCGCATTAGTGGGCTGACACTTAGATAACACGTAAGCATCATTGCAAAATCAGGTTCTTCTTCCTGTTTTTTTTTTTTTTTTTTACTGCCAGTCCTTAGAAGTTCAGGTAGTTGCAGAGAAAATGATCTACACCAGTAAAAGTACTTTTTAAATGAAGTAGAAACCTGTACCCACAAGTTTAAATTTAATTAAATAGAGACTGAAAGTTTGCAGACACTCTTTGTTGCTTTTTTGTACATTTATTCAAGTGAAATAAAGTTTATTTATTCTCCATTTAACACGGGATATAAACTGTTAAAATAAATGCTTAAGGACTCTAGTACCCTACTTTGGAAACCAATGTATTACAAACCGATCCGGGTCATGTGGAATAAACTATTTTTTTTCTTCTTCTTGGCATGACCAAGTTGAAATAACGGAAAAGAAATGCACATGCGCATTGGCCGGCAGCTCCAGCGGAGGCGCCATTGCTTCACAGGGACTGTAGTTCAAGTTTTCCTCCCCACACATGGAAAGTCAGTTATGCGGAGATAATAAAAAGACTCCAAGCCCCAGCGACGGTCGCCGCTCGTTTTCTCGTCAAGCCAGGGGGAGTAGTCACAGCTGGAAAAGGATAATAAGATGCGCATGAATTTAACAATCTGGAATAAAAGATAAGAGGAAAAATAAATGGACGGCACGGTTAGTCTGAGCGAGCCAGTGCGCAAAACTCAACTTCGTCATGTGTAGCCTGCGACGCTGTGCTTCTGTGCGGGACTTCCAACAGAAAAAAAGTGCAGGAGAATAAAAAAAAAAAAAAGTTGAGACTCCGCTTTCCTCAGTGGATGGAGTTAAAAAGTTTCTTCAGTCCTCTCACAATGGAAAGAAAAGCGCCCTCGGCCGAGAGTGAAGGTAAAGTATCGCCTCACACACGTTTCTCTCGACGCTCGCCTTTTACACGGACTTTTAAGCGAAGAAGCGATTTGAAAGTGCGACTAAAAAGGAAAAAAAAGTGCAGCGAGAATGTGCAAATTCAGGGGCTTGTATAACTTGTTTTGCTGGCATTTCTCGACTCGGGTTGTGTTCTGCCAGCGAGCCAATCGAAAGTGGGAGGGGTGCAGATGTTCGGAAGCCTCGGTTCCAGATGTTTGTGAAGTTTGAATCGGTGTAAACACAGAAATGATACGCTTTGTCGACTTTTACGTGTCTTCTAGGCTCTTAATTGATTGTTTTGCGCCCTGGATTGAAGGCACGATGTAGTGGCGACTGTAATGTGTTTATCAGCAGTCATACAAGTACAGCAGTGTGGTGAAAATAATGACTTTATACACAAATGTTTAGGTTGTAGCTCCTTAGCATGGTTTATTGACTAGTAGGTGATGTGAGCTAGCTTGAAGCTAACCATAGGGAAGTACTGAGAACCAAAACAGTGCAAGCAACACTAATAATAATATAGCAGAATTTCAAAAAATGAAGCATGTTTTTCTAAATGAATTTGTGTTCCCTCTGTACCTGATTCATTCATACACTTTTCTCCACTGTTTGCTGATTAGTGAATACTTTTTTTTCATTGTAAAAATAGCAGTGTGTGTTTGTCTCTGTGTGTATGTTTGCGGTGACAGGCTTCCTGTGGTCAGAGTGGATTACTGACTTCAGTAAAGAGAAGGAACAAAACTCCAGGATATGAAGTTTGCTGCAGTGATTTTACTGCAGAAGTCTGCGGATCGCTCAGAGACTTTTCCTCCATCACCTGCCCATCCAGTGAATGAGCGTGTGCTGTGTGAGCTCAGGTGGGTGGATAGGTTGTCATCCTCTTAATTTAAAAAAAAAAAACAAAAGACAATGCCGCTTTAATAAAAGCATACAGTGCTGACTCACTACTACTGATGAGGACCAAAGATTCGCCCCACCACGAGTCGCTCCGCACGGATCCAGCTGTGCTTTTTTCCACCGGCCCTCACTGAATTCTCCACTATTCAGCATTTCACGTCGCAACTGGAAGAAACCCAATGTCTGCCTTCTCTCCCCCGTCCTTACCTCGAGCCTTCCTCCACTCTCTCCATCCGCACCACCCGTCCTCGCCATCCGCCCAGACGCCCAGCTCACCCGGACCGCTCTACACGCGACTGTCCAACGGCAGTCACAGCGCCCCCAGCCCCACCAACTCCCGCAGCTCCTTCCATGGGGTGTCCTTCCTGCTGCAGATCGGACTGACCAGAGAGACGGTGAACCTGGAGGCCAGCGACCTGTCGCTGTCGGCTGTCAAGGACCTGGTGTGCTCCATAGTGGATCAGAAGGTAGGAGTGTCATCTGAAATCTCATAACTTCCCTTTCATGTAATTCACACTCTGCTCTCAGTTGTAAAGGTCATCTCAAACAATTTGTCTCTAATCTCCTTTGAAGTGAAAGGTTTTCCACAAACATATGCATGTCCATTATTATGACCTTGTTTTGAGACTTTAGCAGTAATATCAAAGGCAGTAGAGGACCAACACGATGATGCACCAGCATGTGTTTTGCCATCTTCTACCATATTCATCTGTTTAGGTTTTGTTTTCCAAAGCGGACATCTGGGCCATGTGCCTCAAAATGAGTCAAACACCGCAGAAGCATGCACACGACAGCGCTGATGCTCCTCCAGTTACACGACACAGTCTAGCAGTGCCAGTTATTTACATTGTGGTGTGATGTTACTGGACACGAGGAAGATGCACGCACGCCAACTCATGTGCACGCGCGTGTACAAAACTACACAGTGGTTTTGTGCTTCTTATGTATGCTGGACCTGCTTTATTTTCCATGACAGTGGTAATGCGTTGTAATGACACTGGAGTGTAGCCTCGGCATGAGAAGCGGCTTTAAAGACAAGAACAGGCTGCATCATTCAACATCGTTTGCCTTCTCGTATTTGGTCGTGCGAGAAGTGCAAATCAATGGCGCCAGCTTCAATTTGACGGTCGTCGTTCGTTTTAGGGAAGCGCTGATCATGGTTTGTGTGTGTGTGTGTGTGTGTGTGTGTGTGCGGCTGTTTAAAATGCACAAAGTAAGAGTGAGCGTAAAACATTTTAATTTTTGCTTTTAATTTGAAGCAGCCCTATATAATAGACATTGTAAAGCTACACCACCACATGTTATGCCTTTTATATGAAGCGGGGTTCTTTGTCAGAAAAACATGTTTTCATTGGACTACGAATACGGAATGAGATCAAAAACTTCACATAAACTGGAGAATGAAATTTAACAGTACATTTGCAAAGTAATACAGTGGAATATTTCAAATTAAATTGAAAGTTAATAATATCCATTGTTAAATATGCAGTACTTCTAAACATATGTAAGTGCTGTAAACCTCTTACAGACCTTCTATGAGCCCATGAATGCATACTGTACTTCATAGTTGTGTGAGATTAATGGTGTGCAAAGCCCGATGGAATAATGAAATGGCTTCTGTGTGTATCCACGTATTGCAGTTTTTTTTTTTTAACCTTTTGTGAATAATGATGATTACTCTATTTGCGTCTCTAATTATCTAAATAAAAAGAGGGCGATTAAGCAAAGCACTTTCATCAGCCACTAGAATGTGAACAGCTAGGTAGGTCAGGACTGTGCTGGTGCTGGAGAGGATGATAATTAAAATAAAGAGGGAAAAAAACGTAGCAAACAGGCGTCGAACAATAAATGGAAGATAGCGAAGGAGCTGTCTGTATTGAGCCTGTGTCCTTTGCTTCCATGTTGTCCAATTTGACATTCCAGAGGAGCAGGGTAATGTTGTTGTTCTTTACGAGGTCTGCTGATTCTCACTAGCTAGTTATGAACAGTTCTGGTCCACAGAGCAGAAAATCTCATCACTGCGCATATTTACATGGATCCTGTAACATATTGGCATAGTCGCAAGAATTCTGTAACAGGAAAAGGGTGGGAAATGTGATGCTTTAAAGACAACTCATAAAGAAAATCGGCGCAGTGGATTCGTGGCGAGTGGGTGCTGCTGATAACCTGCCAAGATGAGATCAGGATCACCTATTGCTATTGTGCAGTTTGTTACTGTGTATCTCATATATTTGTCTAAAGATGGTATGGCATCTGATAAGATGTGGCAGGAAATTATATGTTTTATGGCCCACAGTCATGGGAACTCCATTTAAAAAAAGCCATGTACACAATAAACATCTGCACATGCTGTATGTTCTTTTAACATAATATACAGTACACCAGCACAGAACATACTCAGCCTTTTCATCCACATTATTGTGCATTTCTTCTATTAAACACTGCCAAATGCAGTGTACTGCCTCAACTATTTCATGAAATCCAGCCATATGGCTTTGATATCAATGGAAAATATGACTGTAGGCCTTGTGTGCTTTCAGTCCATCCCTGCCTCACTTCTTGTTCTAAAACATGCATGACAGTGGTGAGCCTTTTGCAAAAGTCCACTCGTCCCGGCCAACTTTCCCAGCTGAGGATCTCTGACCCGAGCTCGCTTAGCCGCTGACAGTCGTCCCAGGATGTCTCCAGTCAGCAGAACTTCAGGTGTCTGTCAGCAGAGGCAAGGCAGGAAAAAGCTTTAAACTTTATGTGGTAATATCTGCATGGAGATAGAGTCTGGATGGAAGTGTATTCCCCCCTCTGTGGTGCTGTTTCCTCCGCTGAGAGCTGGCCTGCTCCACTAAGTGACTCACCACTCAGCCATGTAGCAAACAGAGATGCTTATCCCCAACTTAAAGCTGTGCACATCAGTGTCAGGTTTTCTGCTGTGTCAGCTGTCGTGAATTTTCAGCATGGGATTAAGTTGCATGTTAAACCGCGATATAAACCGTGGTGATATCTTGTTAGCCTTCAACCTTGTGTTACAGTGGCTGTGCAACCGGTCCATCTTC